AGTGTGTGTGAGTGCCAGGATAATCAGCGTGATGGGAGGAAATTGAACAACAAGTTCCCGATTGCATGTCTTGGCCAGAAATTACAATTTTTAATGCCAAATAATTTGGGCTGGCTGACAGGCATTGCCCCCCTTTTAACCTTTTGCTGCAAAACTTCGCTGTCGAGGACAATTTCCGGCTTTCTGTTTTCAGATAGTTTTGTCAGTTGCAATACGCGGATGCATCTGATAATTAAATATCACATTTTTTTGCAAAATTATAATCCATTGAAATCCTGCCTGGAAAGGGGCTAAAATGGTTATGTGATTACATTTTTTCAATATTCATGTTGGTAAATGCAATCACAATACGGTAACACAAATAAATAGCTTAAAAGACCACTTATTGGAAAAATAACCATTTATAAATATATATTGTATACTAATAATATTTGTTAAAAGAACAAATTTTTTATTGTTTCCCACAGGTAGATATAAATATTTTAACCCAGCTTACATTTAAATTTTGATTAAAAAGCAATTCATTAAAAATTTAAAAATTTATAATCAGTCATTGTTTGTAGTTATTTAGTGAACTAATTGCTAAGAAAATCAATTAAAAAATATTCTTTTAGGCATAAAACTATACAGGATTTCTACAAAATATTTTTAATTTTGCCTACTTAACAACTCACTCACTCACTTAATTAACAATTATTATTATATTATATCTTAAAAATTTTAAAACAGATTTGTTAAAGGCTTAATAATAATTTATATAAATAGTCTATACTTTTTTTGCAATTTTTGGGCAACTTTCTCTGATGAACTGTCAATTTCTAGGCATAAAACTATACAGGTTTTCTACAAAATGTTTTTAAATTAGCCTACTTTTGATAAATTAACAATAAATTATATTTTAAAAATTAAAAAATATTGCTTACATAAATAAATTTTACTTTCTTAGCAATTTTCGGCCAACTTTCACTGATGGACTGTTAATTTTTTGGGCCAGCTTTTAATTCATATTATTTATAGACAATTTGATGTCTTTGAGGGGGCGGTGGGCGTGGCCGCACCTACAATTGCCGCATGTCAACTGCACTTTGCATGAGTGCTCAGCGAGGGGGGGGGGTGGTTTGCCCTAACAATGGGCGGAGCGGAGGGGGCGTGGCCCGCCCACACTTGTGCCACATCAGCACTTCAACTCTCGACTCCTCGACTTGGTTGTGCTTTTCCACCGACTTTTCCACCAGATCGTCATCATCATCGTCGTCATCGGTGCGGTTCGCTTTCCCAGACCCATTTTTCCCGCCCGATTTTCCCGCTTTCTCCGAACCCAGTGCTTTGTTTTTTTTTCCTGTGTGGCATTTCCACTTGATTTACAAAACTCAACGCAACAACGGGGATAAGGGGCAAGTGGAGCAACAACAAAACCGCATTTGACTGACTGACGACTGACTGCCACGCCCCCATAGGCCCCACTATATACCGCCGCCCCCCTGTCTGAGTGTTTTTGTGTGTGTGTGTACAGAGGGGGGGAGGGGGGGTGCCTGTTACAGAGTTGATTTATATGCACGTCGATTCGACGTAATTGAAGACGTGATCGAAATTCAAATTTTTGATTTTTAGAACCCGTGACTGGATTGGCATTTGTACAGGGACCTTCCGCTAGTTTCCTATCCACTGCCCACCCCCCTCCACACCCTTTTATGCTGCCCACTTTCCCCGGTCCTTTTGGCTTAATGTGATTTTGGTTTTCCATTCTCTTCGCCTTGTATTTGCTGTGAAATAATTTTGCTTCTTATTTTCTTTTTTGGCCCCTTTGTTTGGCAACAAGTTGCGGAAAGGACATTTTTTCAAGGGAGAAAATTGTCATCTATGAAGTCGATCTTACATTATGTTATAGGGCAGACAAAGTGGGGCTCTCTAAATATTTAAGATATTAAATATGCATTGGTTGTCCGTCCAATAATAAATTTTCTTTAAAAAGATTTCGGTTGTAAGAAAATTTTAGTTCAGTATGTTCAGTATATTTTTAGTATTCAGTATTATGGGGTTTCAAATTATATTTTTTTGTCCCATGTTACTAAATTTAACTTAAAGACATTTTTGATTTGTGGTATTATTAATGAATACCCATAAATTTCAAAGGTTAAAGTTGTAGTACAATAATAAACAATATATTTTTTAATTTTTGTATTACAAATAAAATACCATATAAACCATAGGGTATTTTTTGGATGTAGTTTTAACTAAAATAGATTTTTCATTAGTTGTATCATAAATGAATATCCCTTAATGTCAAAGGTGAAAGTTGCGGTACAATAATATGCAATATATTTTTTTGATGTTTGTAATATAAACAAAATACCATATAAGCCAAAGGGTATTTTTGGCTGTACCTTGACAGATTAAGTCCCTTAACTTGTTTGTCGGTTCTCCGCAGGGATGGGTTCCATCCCATCCCGATCTGTTTGCCATCCCAGTCCGGAGCTCAGTTCCCGGATTCAACTTCAGTCTCTGTCGGGGGACAATTCCATCCCATCCCGAACCGAACCAAGCCGAGCCAAACCAAACTCAAACTCTGTTAAATCAGCCATGAAAACGGATTGTCGTCTGTGCATTTTTGCATTTCTTTTGCTCATTTCATTGACTGGCTGGCTGAATGAATGAGTGAGTGAGTGAATGAATGAGTGAGTGAGTGAATGAATGACTGGCTGACTGACTGAGTGGCGTGGCCTGACAAAACGTGACCTGCTGTCATGTCTAACAGTTTTCAATAATAATGGCAGCCAGCTGGCTGCTCTGAGCCCCCTTTTCCCCATTTTCCGCTGCCTTTTTGCTTATTAACAACGCCTTCATCTTGGGGATTATGCCTCTTTCACTCGCACACTCACACACACACTCGGCTGACATTAACTTCAACACCTTGTGGGAAAAGTGGGCGGAGAAAGGTGGCGGAGAAAGGTGGGCGGGACATCTCGCACTCATCCAGATGCTAATGGCTGTGTTGTCGACACTCCAGACATTTGCTGGCTTTATGTGTCACCCGTTTGTTGCCTCTGCTTTTCCACCTGGCCCGCCCCCAACTTTTCCACCTTGATTCTGTTGTTTTGCCTCCGAAAGTTCCTAGGCTCAGTGATGAGGAGTCGTATCTGTGATTTTATCCATTAAAGTCTAATCCAATTCCTATTTTCAATAAAATTATTTTAGGATATTTTTAACGTTTAAACCTTTACATTACTTTATTTTTTCTTTGGTCACCTCTCACATTTTTTTGTTATAGCAAAAGCAATTGTTGTATTTAAATATTTTATCCAAATTATTTATTCACTTAATACTTAAAGGAGAAAAAGATAAAAGAAGAAAACTACTAGAATATAATATTTCATAAATTCTAGAAAAATTTTAAAAATCATTAAAAAACATGTTTAAAAGGAATCAAATGTTAGGGATCTTACAGAATGTATTCAAAATTAACAACAACATAACAATTTCAATTTTATACATCCAGAAAGTAATTTAAAAAAAAACAAATTATTTCCTTAAAACAATCAATAAGGTACATAGGTTTGATATTTTTTTAAAGATAGAATGGATTACTTTTTGTTAATACAAAAATAACCACCATTAAAAAGTTTGACGCCCATAAGATATTTCAAAAACCTTTAAGAAAAATATATATTTTTCTTACAAATAATTTTTTAAAATTGTCTTATTAAACTGCTTATAATTTATATAGCAGTGACTGTGAAAAAGTCACAGTATTCCCCAGGCCCGTGACTTTTTCTTTGGAGTGGGAATGTGAGTGCAGGAGTGGAGAGACTTTTGGATGTGTTCTTTTCGAGTTTGCCTATGCTGTTGTGCTTTTGTCTTATGTTTCGTTTGTGTTAATATTTACATAATTGTGGTTAAAAGTAGCTTTTAAGATGTTTTTAACTGGCATTTGGAGAAGAGTGCCCCTCCGCCCCCCTTCGCTTGCCATTTTGTCAGTTTGGCTTTTGTGTCGGCATCTCCTGCATTTAATGGCACCCCAGAAACAACAACTGACAAATGTTAGAATCCGTTTTATTGCTGAAATCTCCTGAAATCTACCCCTCCAACCCACTCCTAATGGCTTGACATTTTAATAAAGAGGAGTTTTTGGGGGGTTGGGAAACAACTGGCAACAACTTCAGATATTTCAGTTTGTTTTGGCCAACAAAAGCAGCAATTTTTCACTATTTACACACAGAAATGCTGAAAATATTTTTGGCAAACCTCAAACATTTCATTTTGCTTTTTTCTTTCGATACTTTTTTTTTCTATAGTTACTCATCTCAGCTTTTTTGTGCCTGGATTTTTAGATGAATTTGTTGGCAAAATTGTTTGGGTTTTAAAATATTGAAGAGGGGTGCAGTGATGGAACTATCCACATATTCGTTTGTGTTTAGTTAGCAGATGTGGGGTTCCCCTAACTCCCCAAAAATGTTTGCTGGTTTCTCTCAGAATCCAAATTTCCCTTTTTACTCCATAGTTTTCCCTTCAAGCTTGTTAGCAAACGTTTACGCAAGTGGGCGGCTCTGTGTGTGGGCGTGGCACTTGATGGGCTGCAACTTTTGTTGTTGGCAGCTAGAGAAACTTTAACTTTTTGGCAACTTGTTTCAACGCTTCCATTGGTTGGTGGCATGGGCGGGGGCGCAGAGGGGTCAAAGGTGGTCAGCCGCATAAGGCAAAATTGTGGCCGAGAAAGCTCAAAAGCGCCACAAAGCGAAGAACAAGTGATAATGCCTAAATCTAAGCGGTAACGGATTAGCAAAAAGTTGCCAAAAGTTTCACTCAGATCTTTTAAACTTGTATCTTTAATGTGCAATTTTACAAGTAATTAAATTCTATTTTCATTTCAGTTGTATTAAAGGTAAAAGTCTAAAATGAAATATTTTTCCTAACACAGTAGGCTTATTTATTTCCCTTCAAGCCAGTTGAATTAATATATTTTAGTCTGGTAGGTTTCCTCAGTGACCTATCAAAGTATTATTTTCTCATAAAATATATATGCAATTATTTAGGCTACAAAATAAATCCAAGATGAATAGAAGGCCCATTGGACTGCCCGTTTGGACGCCCATGTTCATCCTCTTCTTGCTTTTCCTGGCCAGCGTGTGGGGTAAGCCTCCGCGTAAGCAGAAGTCCCTTTAATATATATAGATCATATTGAAGTTGAGCATTATAATACCCGTAGTTGTGGTGAATCGCCAGGGTCTGCTGGATATGTACCATCGTCAGGTTCATGGATCTGGACCCAACAAAAAGGGAATGGAGTGTCCTGGGGAAGGAATGCTGGATATCAAGCACAATCGTTTTGATCGCTCAATGAGTCGTAGGTTTTAGATAGTTAATTTACAATTATTTTCATTAAGTATCTATACCAGCATTCAAGGCCTTTCTCTCTTGGCCTGGCAAGCCCAGAAAGACTGCGAAACTGAAGCCAGTTGAAGAGGACTCTTATGGCCATGAAGTGAGATCAAAGTACAAGGCTGAGGAGCCCATATATGAAAATAAATTGGATCGCTATTTGGCCCAGGATGATGAGCTGGACTTTGAACCGAAACTGGGACTGGATCATGAGTATGCCGATCATTTGAGCCAGGATGAGGATCAGGATAAGTTTGACAGCTTCCAACGTAAGAGAAAGCTGTTTAATACTTTTACTATAGCAAATATAATTTTATAAATTTAAGCCAGCAAATCCAAGTTGATAAACAGCGCCATGATGGATTACAAACGAGAATTCGCCAGTGATGAGGCCAATCCCTATGTGGAGAACCTTCGACAGCGCTATGAACCCTCGCCGTTTGCCCTTTCGGATTAATCCCTATTCTGGATTATCCTTATATTTTTTTAAAGAATTGTTCAACAGCGATTTTAACGATCAATTAAAGATATCATTCTGTTGCAACAAATATTGCGGGGCCTTAAAAAAGGGTACATCATATTAAGGTATTTTAAATTAGTTGAGCAAAATATAGTAAAGCCAAAGGAATTTTTATTTATTTTTATTTATTTTTCATCATAAGTTATGATATAAATAATTTGTCTACCTAATTAGGAGGTTATTAGTATTATTTAAAGTTTGTTGCTTATCTAATAGTGAATATCTATTAGCGAAATATAAAGATGCCAATATATTTCAAGCTAGTAACTCAATTTACAGAAAATGCTGATTTGTTCTAAGCCAAATTTCAAAGACATTTTCAGCTGAAGTAACCACCATTAATTTCTTTCCACTGAGACAAGTTGAAACTTAATTTATTTTTTGACATAACAATACTTTATTATCCTGTGTGTGCGCGCGGCTGTCCAATTTCAACTGTCAGTGGGAAAAATGAGCAGAATGGGATGGGAAAATGGGAAATGGAAAAAGGAAGAGCTTGCTTGATCGGTGATTTGCGTGGCGCCCTCTGTCGCACAATTTGGGGCAATTACCGAGCGATTAAAGAAGAGTTTCCACGGCAAACTCCATGGAAAAAGTGATGAAAGTTTTTCGGCCAGAGCAGCTGGCGCGCAATAAACGTAATCAAATTTAATTTCAACAAATTGCTTTTGAATTACGCGACCTTCGCTGGCGCCGCTCAAGCGCAAAAGAGTTGGAAAATTGTTAAAATAATAATAACTTTCCACCCAACCAGCCACCCAGTTTGTGCCGCAGAACAATTGCCACAATAACAACAGCAATTTGGCGCTCGAAATGCTGGAATGAGTGGCCGCCCACGCGGCGTATACGTAATCATAAAAATTATGATTCATTGGCGCAGACAGATATGGCTGGAAATATCGGAAAACGGGGTTTGGGTTAGAGTTTTAAGCTCTGTTCCTAATAAACAAATTAATTTGATTGAAGCCCAAATGCAAAACTTTTCATTACAACTTGCTAAAGCAAATTCATTGCGGTTATTTCCCAATCCATTTGGGAAAATTAGAGAAGGAAAATTTGGGCTTTAAAATTGCTAAGGCAAATGTGCTCCAATTTAAAAGTGTTGAACTTTTTAATATAAAATCGAAAAGCTAAACCAGCTTAAGTTTAATTTGATCATACAATATAATCCTTTTGACACAAATCGTGTATGCTATTCAAATGTTTGGTTATAGTTAGTTAAATCCCTAGCTTTAACTAAAGTTAGTTGCTTTGGAAAAAGTTTTATGAAAAGCCCAACAAATCGACTGATGTTTGGCCTTTGTAAATACCAATTTCCCCTTACTCACCACAAATTCGCAGGGAAATACGAGTGGAAAGCGGCTAATTAAGCCTTTCACAACGGGCCACGTTGTTCGGCGATGGCCCTGTTTTTCCCAGGTAATTTACATGTAAACAATTGTCCGATCCTGTTTGTTTCCTCTTATTTTTCCCGTTTTTTTCTGCAGGTTTTTTCCCTTCCCCCGTTCCATTTCAGTTTAAGCCATCATCAACTGACAATTTTGCGGCTCTGCGATGTCCTTCTCGCCGCTCGTTGCACATTTACATTTTGGCCAAAAAGGGGGAGGGTCGAAAAGTCAAACTAATCTAACAACTGCTAACAATAAGAGCCAGCCTTTCCCCTCTCCTTTCCCTTTTTTTTCAGCGGGCCATCTAAACGCCAAGGGCAGCCACCGGTTTTCCCCCCCATTTTCCTACCACTTTTTTGCCCCCCGGCATTTTCCCGGCTTTGTGCAAGTTGTTTTAACAAAGCATTTTGTAGTTGGCAAATATATCTGTGCCTCTGTATCTGTGTATCTGCATGTGTTTGTATATAAATATATACATACATATATACGTTGACAATTTTGCGTTGTCAGTTGTTGTTTTAATTAGAAAACTTTTTTACCAAACAACAACAGCAGCAAAAAGGCTGGAGAGCCAACAGCAACAGCAACAGCAAAACTCAAAAAACGATTTTGAACACCACAGTATTTTTGTAGAAACCCCCCCCCCCCCCTGCAGTATTTGCATTTTCTATTTTATTTTGCTGCCTGCCAAATGAATAATGAATTTCTCTTCATTTTCACATTTTCGGATTTCTGTTTCTGTTTTCCATCTGCGCTTATGTTTGTGTGTGTGTGGGGGGCTTGAATTACTTATCGCAAAATTCATGGGCTCGAATAAAAGCTTTCCTCTTCAATCAGATCCACGCACTAGATATCTAGCCATCCATCTGCTCTAAGGAACTATAGCTTCTCTAATTGTATTTCCTTCTCCCATTTTTTGGAATTTTTTTTGTTTATTTTGCAAAATTAAATCCAACGTTTTAGTTTTATGAGGCAAAACTTGCTTTGTTTGCGGAATGCGAAAGGCGAAGGGGATGGGGTGCGGCCAACCGCAAAGCCAACGGCCTAAAACGGGGGCAAATCGAATTTTAGATACTCTTAAGTTAATTATATTATCTATCTTTTATTTATCACAAAGATAAGCTAAATATACCTGAATATAAATATTAATACTAACATTATTTCAAGGAAATTTAAATTTAATTACTAAATAACAGTTTTTAAAATAATGTCGTTATATTTTAACATATCGTTATATTTTAAAAAACTAAAGTTAAAAATGTTGTCTTTGAGAATTTGGTAGAGAAATTTTAAAAAGCATTTTTGGTACATTTGGTCACATTATTTTTGGTATATTGTTACAATAACAAGTTTAATAAGGTAGCAGTATATTTTGTAATCCGTAAATCAGCCCAAAAGAATATAAATAAATATAAAAGTAATATCATGTACTTATCTACTGGCGTACAGTAAGTTCATTTTTGTATAATATTTTTTTGATTAATTTGTTAAGACATTCGCTTTTTAAGTACATTTGGTCACATTGTTTTTTGAAGTATTTGGTATAATATCAAGTTTAAAATGATAACAGGACTTCATTTAAACAGAAATGTATTAAACAATATCAAATCTTTACAACAAGTTTATTTTAATGTTACATGGTATATTATTCCGTTACTATAACTTTTTCATTAAGAAATACATATTTACTTTAATAGAAAAGGGTGCCTAATCAATTGGCAGGGTATATCCTTGATCTGGGAAAGAATAGAAATAAAAACGCTGCATCCGATGATACGCAAACACACACAGACGGATCCACATGTATTAGAGTGCGGTTTGTTGTCAATCTCGTTAGAAACGAATCCTTTCGTAATCCTTGTGCTTCAACTGCAGATTTTTTCTGTTTCCCTGTTTTTTTTGTTGTGTTTTTGCGCTTTGCTTTATTTTTGTTACTAGCCCGGCACTGACGTCACAGGGCAGTTTATGCGTTTTTGCAGCTTAATCCGCTGCCACCATCAAGATGAGCTCCATGCGAGTACTTAGGGGGTTAAAATGGGGTTGGGGGGTTTTGGCAGGGTGGCACTATCACTATCATCAGCTAAGGATCTCAGCATCTCACCATCCCCTCAGCCCTTTCCACATCCAGCGATTCCAATTTCACGACGAGTCCTGCAAATCCCACATAAGAAATTGTTTTCCAGCTATCTTTCATTTTCCCCCGTTTCATTTTCATTTCCCCTTCCTTTTTTTTGCCCTTCTGAAGAGCTTGAAAAATTGAGGAAACAGGCCTTGTAATTATTTGGGCTAGTTAAAAATGTTAAATGCTGCCGCAACAACTACAAATGGGCATCATTATTTATTTTCGGGATGTGCTGCCAACGCTCCTAAATATGATTGATGGCCCTTGTCGCGTTACGTAATCGCAGTCCTGGCTGCGTGTGAGTGTGTGCAAGTGTATGGGTTGTGTGTGTGTGTGGGTGAGTCCTGCGAAAGCCATCATTTTTGCAGGTGCGCCAGCGAGGGTGTTAACACTTTGTTGCCGCTTTTGAGCCACTGACATGCAGCCATCACAAAGTTGTTTACGTGATTTCCAGATAATTAGCAACATATTCTGTGCAGTGAGAGAAAAACAAGCAATATGATACCTAGAAAATATTTAAGAATAATACTATTTATGCTTTAAAATAAATATTATTTTTCTAAATGTAATTTTAAAAAATCCATCTAAAAATATTTGATTTTTTTAGGTGTATTAAAAATATGGAATAGTGGGTTTGAGTACCTGCGTATTGATTCAAAGTTATACGAAACACATTTGACTTAAATACGAAAGCGCTAGAACTGATATAGCACATATTAAATTGCATGCTTTAATTTTTAAATATTTGAATATAGATAGAACATATTTTATATAATACTTAGTCTAAATCATTTTATATCATTAAATAAAAGCTATAAAGTTTACTATGGCTCTTTAATTTTATTTATCGACATTTAAACTACATAAAAACCGCACTGAATGAAAGACAATACGAATAGTATGCAATTTAAATATTCTTTGCTTTGTTTTTAAAATAACCTCTGCCATGAAAATACATTTCCTGCTGTTCTATTTTCCCAATCATTTTAAATTCCCTTAGCTGCCGGCTTTAAAAGTGTCCTTATTCGATTCGATTCAATTCGATTGAGCTGAAAAGCAGCTGAGTCAAGGACAGACAACAAACAGGAAACTCGGAGCAATGGAACGCATATTTACGCATTAATCAATGGGGCAAACACGGCTAGAAGAGGGAAATAAAAATGAATGAAAGAATGCCCGAGATGGCGACCAGGTATCCCCCCTCCCCCCACTGCATTTTCCACCACCCTCCCAGACGCTTTTCCACCAGCGACGTCTTCGACTCATTTCCATTTTGATCCTAAGCCTGGTCTGGCCTATTCATGTGGAAATCGAGTGCGGTTTGTGGCTCTTGGTAGACATAACAAGAAATATGGATGTGGTATGGGGTTTCAACTTAAGGATACCTCGTAGTCAAAGATTTCCAAAAATATCTATACCAAAGAATTGTATTTTTTCAAGATCCAGAGATCTA